CTGCTGCTGCTGCTACTACTACTATGATATCACCACTCTCCAGTTGATCGAAATCGCATCATGAAAGACACGGCTAGTGTTGCTCCCCACTGAGGAAAGAAACATGAGCAAGCTGTTCGCCCTGCACGAGCACACGCTTTGGGTGCATGGCAACGGCTACGAGAATCGACTCGTGGGCCTGGTCCGGGACTCCATGGGGATTGCGGCCCTTGGCAGACTGCACCTCTGCCACGACGCAGAGCCCAATGAAGACGGGGTAGCTCAGCTTCAGTCTGGTTTCTTGGGCACTTCGCAGGATGTCATGCACATTTATGATGATTCGAGACCGGGTTCTTTCTATACCCAAACCCGAAACTCGACTCGAGGGCCTTACATGGACTCACACGGCAAGTTAACACATCGATATTCACAATTCATGATAAGGTTTCATTGTGCCTGATGCTTACTCACATTGGCTCGTCGACATGATGGTGTTTTCGAATACAAGGCTGATTCTAATCGTCCGCTGGGAATCAAAGCTTGACCTGGACTATGCGGGTCACTCAAGGTTTCATCCCGACTAATCATATTGAGTCAACCTTGCTTGCCGCCCCTCAGACCGGTGGTCGTGTCACCCTGCCTTCGTCTCTGATCGGCCGAGATTTCCTGGAAAGCTGCCAATGACCCGGAACGTGTCTGTCATTGCCCTCCCAAGTCAATCACTTCTTGTTTTCATGTTACTTCATCATTGACATCAGTGTCCTGTTTGGCTCATCTTCAGACTCATTGCTCATCGATGCTCATCGTCGTTGCTGCATATTCATTATTTCATATCGTGTCATTTCATGCACGATCTCATTCTACGCAGCTTTCATGGTCATAACATTCGTGTGTCTCCTCATCCTCACATTGCGGTCGCTAGCCGAGAACAGGTGCTTCAAATTTCAAGTCCTTCGGCGGTCATTCTTGTGCACATTGGACACACCTCGTTTTGACACACGGAGTCTGTAGTCTCATTCCAGAACGGAAACAAACTGCGATGTGCCCGAGAATTGGGGGCACTCTTTGAAAGACAGCTAGATTAAGACCAGGACCAGGCTGCACATGATTAAAGTGGAACGGAGTCGAGGCCGATCCTCTTATTTCGAACAAGCTCAGGTCTTGGTGATTGCTCAGAGGCGCCTTCCGGTGCAGGAGGATCTTGTCCGAGACCATTTCATGGCACTGTTGGCTGTGATTTTCGAGATGAGCATGTACGTCGTCTACCTCCGTTCCAGCCCCGCTCGCTTTGCAGCTTTGCTCGTCGACCCAAAAGATGATCTTCAAACGAGTCAATTGCAAGATGAGATCATGAAAAGCATCAGAGAGGAGTGGAAGACAATCGTGCAGATGGAGAACAAGGCGAGCTCCAACCAGCTGCTGCAACAGAGGTGCTGTTTCACGCGATGGGTGTGCTACCGCGAGCCGATGACATGCTTGGAGCTGGAACAATGGTCCATGACGGACAAGGCCAGGGGTCTGTTGCTTAGTTGGCACCCCAGCCTGGCTTTCAGTGCCAACGTGGAGCAGGTTTTTGCTGCAGTGGAAGATAGCTGCAGACGTGGAGTGAAAAATTTCAAGGCGAGCATGGCCAACTTGCAATGCCTTGCCATTCGTGCTGTGGAGCAGAAGCTGACTGCAAATGAGAACGAACGGGAGGCAGGCAAGACAGACCGGGCTCGGGCCGTGAAGCTGGGTGTGGAGGACTTCGAGGGCAACGAGGTCCGTGCCCTGAAAGAATCGGTCTGGAGACCAAGCTCCTTCGCTGGAAGACGCTTGGGTTGATGATTGATCAAACGAATGAACAAAGGATCGAATGACGGAAGGAGTAGACGAATGAGTAGCTGAAGACCACGGTGGTTCTGAATCTGTCATAGTCACTCACACTCTTCATTTTACTTCTGCATTTATCATTGTGTCATACATACGTGTCATCGCAAAGAACGGGCGGGGCTTCACGCTAAGAGGAATTATTTTTAATGCTATCATAACCCAGGCCACCACTTCGACGTGAACAACATCCTCAAGCCGTACCAGTCTACCTCTTCGTATCACCACAACAAGGTGGAGCTGAATTGGCTCAAGGGCCTGCTTCTTTCGGCACAGATCCTCGGCTGCCTGAAATGGTGTTGCCTTTCAGAAGGAATCAAAACACACATGCCGCTGAGGTCGGGCCTGGATCCTGAAGAGTCAAGCTCGAACTTCTGGGTTCCGAGCTTGTGCCAGCCCGGCATGCTGCTACGAGTTGCGAACACGTTCTACATTGTCTTGGGGTCAACGCCGGCAGTCTTGTATGCTGCTTGACTCGCACGTCGATTCGCATGGTTTACCAGCCCCTTATTTTTCAGCACGTAAGAGATTTTTCGGAGGCCCTCCAGATGGATGAGATTGGCATGATCTTCAAGGGCAGCCTTCCTGCCTGTGTGGTGGACGAGACAAAGGTGAAGCAAGGCGACAGCAGAGCTGGAATGCAGGACTGTCTTGCAGAGCATGAGCAGGTGAAGGTTCTTGCTTTCCGGCTTCAGAAGTACCTTTGCAGAATGAGGGCACCTGTTTGGTGGAAGAAATTACCTTGGTCAGTATACCCCAACAAGGACGCATTCCTATCATTTATGCTACGGCACCAACGTTTTTCACAACTAAGGCCGATGGTCAAGGAGCTGCTGTTGCGGACTGAAGATGCCTCATGACCGAGCCATAGTCTGCCTGTTAAAGGTTGCTACTAAGGCCGTTGCCCCCTACGTTTTGCTATATTACCAGATAAGCGATGCAATCAGTCTGCTGATGAGGTTGAAGTTTTCAGTTACACGATTCATTTCGTCGGCCCTCGCCTCTGCGACAAACTTGGATGTGCTGCTGTTGTTCGAAGATGCCAAGCCGGGCAGAAGCTGCTTGTCTGGATGATCCGCAGCAAGGACATCGTGAAGGTGACTTCGGAGAGTTTGTCTCAGTTGGCTGCCGAACACGGTCTTCAAATTCGGCGAAACAGCACCAAGAGTGCAAAGATCCGTGCCCTGTGCCAGCTCCCAGAAGTCACCGCAGCATGCACACCGGCCGAGCTCGAGGCTTTGGATGAGTTGTTGAAGGAGATAGATGAAAAACGCCGGAAACGCACAAAGGCCAGCGAGGCCGAAAATCAGGAGGACGACGAGGCTCGGAAGTGAAACAAACTTAAAACTATCTTGCCATTGACTTGCTTTCTGCTCAAGGCAGATCTCTTGGAAGAGGAGGATGAGACAATGGCAGCCGCCAGACAGCTGCTGGAGCAGGTGCAGAAGCAGGATGACGAGGACCGGCTTATGTATGTAGTCATGCTTCATGCTGCCTATCATTTACTGTCTATTAAATCAGCAGGGAGAATTGAGTCGATGATTGACTCCTTTCTCTCACGTATTTTTGTGATCCCGAGAACAGCAGCAAGGAGGAAAATGATGCCGATGCTGAAGGCAGGAAGCCTGATGAAGCGCCTGATGAGGCGGCTGATGAAGCAGCAGCCCCTGCAGCGGCAGAAGCTCCCGGAGAAGATGTAAAGCGAGCTTCGCGGCGGTTGCTGAGCTCTTGCCACGCCGTGCCCGGCTTCCTGACGGCGAAGTTCAGGATGAGAGATGATGTGGTCATCTCGCACGTGGGGCATCGGTCGAATGTCCTGCCCCACTTTCAGGTTCGGCTTCCAGGTGAGGAGAAGTACGATGGAAAGCCACGTGGTTGCACAAGTACAGTTGTTGATTGAATAATTGCACACAAATGTCAATTCAAATGCAGATTCCATCTTTTTCTGTAACATGTCCGGATGAATTTGAAACAACAATTACAGATGAGGCACAGCTGCAGTGCAAGCTACAACCCTGACATCTCCAAAGAGCAGCTGGATGAGGCGATCGACAGGGTGAGTTTGCTGCCGGCCAGACAACGGTCGATGATGCAAGCATGGTACATATGCTACAAGTTTCAAGCCGAGTCCGAAAAAAACAAGCGGCGGCGGCGGCACTGACGAGGTGGCGAGGCGAGTGAAAACAGCTGTCGGTCGTGCTGGCATCATGGAATCTCATAGGTCATCATATATTTCATCTGATCTCATTCCCCAATAGCCTTTACCAACCAATGTTATAATCAGCAGTTCATCCAGAACGATAAAAAAGCAAAGATGGGACAGACCATCTGAATGCAAAGGGCCGGCTATGATAAACCCTGAACCCTAAACCCTAAACCCTAAACCCCTGGTTCCCTGAAAGCCCAGGAAGGTTGCTCTCTAAACTCCTTAAAGCCCCTAAAGCCTAAACCCTAAACCCTAAACCCTAAACCCTAAACCTAAACCCTAAGCCCTAAACCCTAAACCCTAAACCCTAAACCCTAAACCCTAAACCCCTGGTTCCCTGAAAGCCCAAGGAAGCTTTCTCGCTGGACCTCTGCCCTGGCTCTCTTCGAGGACCTCAGCGCCGGTGGATCTCCGGATGCCCGGGGCCGAAAGGGCGGCCGTTCTTTCCCCAAGGGTCCATGTACCCACATAGGCTTTCAGGGTTTAGGGTTTAGGGTTTAGGTCAAGGGTAGCTGCCAATTCGCTACCGGTCACCCTTCCCAAGGCTTCCTTGATGTATTTCTACTACACTCTACATTACCCCAAAAGTCGCAGTTCGAAATTTTTACGGCCCTCATATATCATTGAGACTTCTGAATATTCTATAATCC